TTTTTTTGTTGAACTCGTTTTACCGTTTTTCCAGCGTAGATGACGGTTCCGATCTAACTAGAGCGGTATATGGTCGATGAGGGGCTATTCATTATGCCTGCGGGCGGTCCTCATCCTATGCATCGTCTACTTTTTGCTCGGAATCTTTCGGAATTGTGAGTTTTGGCTTGGATTGGCTAAAGAACCGGCAAAAGAACCGGCTTCCGTCTTTTTAAAGGGACTGGCAAGGGGATGTATCGATTTTGAACCCATGAATTCTAGGGTCATCAGACGAATTGCCAAAAGACATCCCAGTTGAGGCGCCGCCAATCGCTAAAGGTAAGCTTAGTAGGGTTTTCGGGCAGATTTTACCAGAGGTTAAATTATATTTAATCTACGTTAAGTCCCTTTGTTTAAACTATGAAACTCCGAAAATTCTGAAAAATTAATATATTAGTTTAAATTCCATTAATATGAGCCATTTTTTAGAAAAGCCTCCCATCACCTCGCCTTCTGATGCGATCCCAGACAAATGGCGGGAGTACTGCCAATTTCTCGAGGATCCGATGCACGGCTGGGAAGGTGAGGCTTTGAAGGCTTGGCTGTGACGAGGCTTGGCTTAGGCTTGGCCAGGGCTTGGCTTAGGCTTGGCTTAGGCTTGGTTTAGACCTAGATTAGCTTTGACTTAGGCTTGGCTTAGGCTTGGCTTAAGCTTGACTTAGGCTTAGCTTAGGTTTGGCTTAGGCTTATGCTTAGACTTGGCTTAGGCTTGGCTTAGTCTCGGCTTAGGCTTGGCCAGGACTTGGCTTAGGCTTATGCTTAGACTTGGCTTAGGCTTATGCTTAGACTTGGCTTAGGCTTGGCTTAGTCTCGGCTTAGGCTTGGCTTAGGCTTGGCTTGGCTTAGGCTTGGCTTAGGCCTGGATTAGGCTTGCCTTAGGCTTGGCTTCAGCGTAGACTGAACTCTCAGGCTCATCAGAAAATTTAGGCCTCCTGAAACCTCGCTCCGGACGGCTAGGCAAAAATTTGAAGCTTCGGGGGCTCGTGGTTTTGACGAGACATGGCGAGCGGGCTGCACTTATCGAAGATGCGGAGCTGATGAAGACGACCTCTTGCGCCCCGTACCACGAAACGGATCGAGTAGCGTTCCGGAAATATAGACAGGTAAGGGAACGGCATTATAGGGACCAGGAAGTCCCAACAGCTACGCGACGCTCCAAATGACGAGTGAAAAGTTCATTCCATTTTATTCTACTGCCACTCTTTTTTTTTTGGGGGGGTAAAAATAAGCTCAGCACTCGCCACTTGGTGGCACTGGTTCATTAGCGGGGGGAATTCTGTCGATTTTTGCACTTCCAAGTCCCTTTAGGGAAGCATTTCCGACGAGATTGTTTTTTAAGCCTCAACGCGTCATTTTTCAGCTAATCACTTCGCCGTCATTTGAGGACTTTATGCAGCGTCATCCTACCCTGAGAAATGGCAACTACGGGATCATCCCACATCAGTACGTCACTCTTTCACTCTCACTTTCTGTTTTTTTTCTCGGCTTTCAAGTGCTTGACTTCTTCTCAATTTATTTTTTTACGGCGCAAAATATCTCCTGTTGCTTTCAATTTATCCATTTTTTTTCAGGTCGGCCTGCCAAGCCGGTCAGCTGACAGCGGAAGGAGCTCTGCAGCTCCATAGATTAGGGACATTTCTACATGGCAGATATTCGAATACCTCGCTATTTAAAGGTATAGAAAATACAATTTAAAGGCAATTTCAATACGCCCAAAAATCGACCCCGGACATCCGCTAGGTCTCGACAGCTCCGCCGAGCTCCGAATGACACCCAAAAACTCTTGATTTTTGCTCAAAATTCCGGACCAGCATGGCTAGAAACCCCGGTGGACTGGTGTCATTTAGTGTATCGCGTAGTCGTCGAGACCTAGCCTCTGATAGGGGTTGGTCCTAGACTTTCCAGGACCTTTAAAACCGGATAACAATACGTTTTTAGCCCCCCGAATCGAGGTATCGGCGATGACTACACCGTATAACCGGACGCTGCAGTCGTTGACCGGCGTTATTTCTGGGTTTTTATACCCTCAAAGGTATCGCTCACTCTCTCACTCTCTCTCTCTCTCTCTCCCTTTCTCTCTCTTTCTCTCTCTCTCTCTCTCTCAATCTCCCTCCCTCTCGCTCTTTCTCCCTCTCTTTCGCCTTCCTCTCCCCCTCTCTCTGTACCACTCTCTCACTCTCTCCCGCACCTTGCTACGACAGCTTGTGCTGACTTTTTCCTATTTTTCTCGTTTAGGGCCCAGCTCAACCGGATTTTGGTCAATTTTTCCGGAAACCACTTCCTATGTGCCGACGAGGAGGCCTATTGTAGATGCTCAAAAGCTGGCGATTGGCGAAAACAGTATGAGGAGGTACGGTTTTTCGCCATTTTTAAGTTAAAAATTTTTGCAGGAATACGCCCAATTCTTTAAACTGCGCTCCCCGGCCGACCTTCAGCGGAAATGTCAGCTTTTTAAAGAGCTACCGGCCACGAGAAGCTTTGTTGATCCCTGGCAATTTATGGATGCGTAGGTTTCCCAAATGATCTCTGCTAGCCTGCTCCTTCCATTCCCAAATGATCTCTGCTAGCCTGCCCCTTCCATTCCCAAATGATCTCTGCTAGCCTGCCCCTTCCATCTGCTAGCCTGCCCCTTCCATTCCCAAATGATCTCTGCTAGCCTGCCCCTTCCATCTGCTAGCCTGCCCCTTCCATTCCCAAATGATCTCTGCTAGCCTGCCCCTTCCATTCCCAAATGATCTCTGCTAGCCTGCCCCTTCCATTCCCAAATGATCTCTGCTAGCCTGCCCCTTCCATTCCCAAATGATCTCTGCTAGCCTGCCCCTTCCATCTGCTAGCCTGCCCCTTCCATTCCCAAATGATCTCTGCTAGCCTGCCCCTTCCATCTGCTAGCCTGCCCCTTCCATTCCCAAATGATCTCTGCTAGCCTGCCCCTTCCATTCCCAAATGATCTCTGCTAGCCTGCCCCTTCCATTCCCAAATGATCTCTGCTAGCCTGCCCCTTCCATCTGCTAGCCTGCTCCTTCCATTCCCAAATGATCTCTGCTAGCCTGCCCCTTCCATTCCCAAATGATCTCTGCTAGCCTGCCCCTTCCATCTGCTAGCCTGCCCCTTCCATTCCCAAATGATCTCTGCTAGCCTGCCCCTTCCATCTGCTAGCCTGCCCCTTCCATTCCCAAATGATCTCTGCTAGCCTGCCCCTTCCATTCCCAAATGATCTCTGCTAGCCTGCCCTTCCATTCCCAAATGATCTCTGCTAGCCTGCCCCTTCCATCTGCTAGCCTGCCCCTTCCATTCCCAAATGATCTCTGCTAGCCTGCCCCTTCCATCTGCTAGCCTGCCCCTTCCATTCCCAAATGATCTCTGCTAGCCTGCCCCTTCCATTCCCAAATGATCTCTGCTAGCCTGCCCCTTCCATTCCCAAATGATCTCTGCTAGCCTGCCCCTTCCATTCCCAAATGATCTCTGCTAGCCTGCCCCTTCCATCTGCTAGCCTGCCCCTTCCATTCCCAAATGATCTCTGCTAGCCTGCCCCTTCCATTCCCAAATGATCTCTGCTAGCCTGCCCCTTCCATCTGCTAGCCTGCCCCTTCCATTCCCAAATGATCTCTGCTAGCCTGCCCCTTCCATTCCCAAATGATCTCTGCTAGCCTGCCCCTTCCATCTGCTAGCCTGCCCCTTCCATTCCCAAATGATCTCTGCTAGCCTGCCCCTTCCATTCCCAAATGATCTCTGCTAGCCTGCCCCTTCCATCTGCTAGCCTGCCCCTTCCATTCCCAAATGATCTCTGCTAGCCTGCCCCTTCCATTCCCAAATGATCTCTGCTAGCCTGCCCCTTCCATTCCCAAATGATCTCTGCTAGCCTGCCCCTTCCATCTGCTAGCCTGCCCCTTCCATTCCCAAATGATCTCTGCTAGCCTGCCCCTTCCATTCCCAAATGATCTCTGCTAGCCTGCCCCTTCCATTCCCAAATGATCTCTGCTAGCCTGCCCCTTCCATCTGCTAGCCTGCCCCTTCCATTCCCAAATGATCTCTGCTAGCCTGCCCCTTCCATCTGCTAGCCTGCCCCTTCCATTCCCAAATGATCTCTGCTAGCCTGCCCCTTCCATTCCCAAATGATCTCTGCTAGCCTGCCCCTTCCATTCCCAAATGATCTCTGCTAGCCTGCCCCTTCCATCTGCTAGCCTGCCCCTTCCATTCCCAAATGATCTCTGCTAGCCTGCCCCTTCCATTCCCAAATGATCTCTGCTAGCCTGCCCCTTCCATTCCCAAATGATCTCTGCTAGCCTGCCCCTTCCATCTGCTAGCCTGCCCCTTCCATTCCCAAATGATCTCTGCTAGCCTGCCCCTTCCATTCCCAAATGATCTCTGCTAGCCTGCCCCTTCCATTCCCAAATGATCTCTGCTAGCCTGCCCCTTCCATCTGCTAGCCTGCCCCTTCCATTCCCAAATGATCTCTGCTAGCCTGCCCCTTCCATTCCCAAATGATCTCTGCTAGCCTGCCCCTTCCATTCCCAAATGATCTCTGCTAGCCTGCCCCTTCCATCTGCTAGCCTGCCCCTTCCATTCCCAAATGATCTCTGCTAGCCTGCCCCTTCCATCTGCTAGCCTGCCCTTCCATTCCCAAATGATCTCTGCTAGCCTGCCCTTCCATTCCCAAATGATCTCTGCTAGCCTGCCCCTTCCATTCCCAAATGATCTCTGCTAGCCTGCCCTTCCATTCCCAAATGATCTCTGCTAGCCTGCCCCTTCCATCTGCTAGCCTGCCCCTTCCATTCCCAAATGATCTCTGCTAGCCTGCCCCTTCCATTCCCAAATGATCTCTGCTAGCCTGCCCCTTCCATTCCCAAATGATCTCTGCTAGCCTGCCCCTTCCATCTGCTAGCCTGCCCCTTCCATTCCCAAATGATCTCTGCTAGCCTGCCCCTTCCATTCCCAAATGATCTCTGCTAGCCTGCCCCTTCCATCTGCTAGCCTGCCCCTTCCATTCCCAAATGATCTCTGCTAGCCTGCCCCTTCCATTCCCAAATGATCTCTGCTAGCCTGCCCCTTCCATTCCCAAATGATCTCTGCTAGCCTGCCCCTTCCATCTGCTAGCCTGCCCCTTCCATTCCCAAATGATCTCTGCTAGCCTGCCCCTTCCATTCCCAAATGATCTCTGCTAGCCTGCCCCTTCCATTCCCAAATGATCTCTGCTAGCCTGCCCCTTCCATTCCCAAATGATCTCTGCTAGCCTGCCCCTTCCATCTGCTAGCCTGCCCCTTCCATTCCCAAATGATCTCTGCTAGCCTGCCCCTTCCATTCCCAAATGATCTCTGCTAGCCTGCCCCTTCCATCTGCTAGCCTGCCCCTTCCATTCCCAAATGATCTCTGCTAGCCTGCCCCTTCCATTCCCAAATGATCTCTGCTAGCCTGCCCCTTCCATTCCCAAATGATCTCTGCTAGCCTGCCCCTTCCATTCCCAAATGATCTCTGCTAGCCTGCCCCTTCCATCTGCTAGCCTGCCCCTTCCATTCCCAAATGATCTCTGCTAGCCTGCCCCTTCCATTCCCAAATGATCTCTGCTAGCCTGCCCCTTCCATTCCCAAATGATCTCTGCTAGTCAGCCCCTTCCATTCCCAAATGATCTCTGCTAGTCTGCCCCTTCCATTCCCAAATGACCTCTCACAGCGGCCCGGCCCCTAATAAAACGTCCGGTAGCTCTGGAAAGGAGGGAAGACCGCAACGCGTGCGATAGACGCGTCGCGCAATTGCGAAAGCTGGCCTGCGCGGCTAAAAACCGGTTGCTATTCCGCGCACCGCACGCGTGAAAAACACGCACAGTACGCCCTTTCCCTTGAGCCATCTGGACCGAACCCATGGGCGGTTGTGCTCTGCTAGCTTCCGATATCCGATTACGACACCCATTTCAGGATGGTTGGGTTCTACATTTGCCGGCGTGAGAATTTACCCTGTGACGCACGAGGGGACTGTGTTTCATATGGATTGATGGATGAGGTGAGAGAAACAGAGATAGAGAAAGAGAGAGAGAGAGAGGGGGGAAGAGAGAGAAAGAGATAGAGAGAGAGAAAGAGAGAGAGAGCATGACTCACGATACAACGCATCGCTATTTTTTACAGATTTATGCCGAGACGACGAGAAGAGGCGAGCAAATGTTCATCGACGGACCGAATTACATTGCGCAGAGGGTGCAACTGGCTGAGGCGAATAGTGTCATCGGTAAGGAAATGCGCCTTTCGCTCAGTCTCTCTCTATCTCGCTCTCTCTCTCTCTCTCTCTCTCTCTCTCTCTTCTGTCTAAATTGCATTTCATTCTAGGAAAATGGCTCCACGTAATCGAAGCCCTTCAAAAAGATCCGGAAGTCAGCCAGATTAAGGTATATTTTTGGAAATGCGAGGATTTTGGGTTTTTGTGTTTTAGCTCCTTTCTGCCCACGACTCGACACTGGGCCCACTACTTCGTGTACTCCGCATTTTGCCCCAAGATCCGCCCAGATACGCCAGTAGGGTAGTTTTGGAGGTGAGGTTCTCTCTTTCTCTCTCTCTCTCTCACTCTCTCTCCCTCCCCTTTCACTCTCTCGCGCTCTCTCTCGTCTCTCTCTCTCGCTCTCTCTCACACACACACTCACTCTAAATTCAAATTTCAGGTCTACTCCGATCCTAGCAATGCCCTATACTTCCGGCTGCTATTTAATGGGGAGGTATTCACAGAAAAGGTCGGTGAAGGACACCTTAAAGAGTGGATAAAGCGTAATAATCGACCCTTCCCTCGAATAGGTCTAGTTTATAATAGACTTTCCCTATTTATAGACTTCCGGTATAAATATGCCCCTTTCAGCTCCCGTTTTGCCGCGAAAATTCGAGCGATGGCCTGTGTGCCGTCGAGGAGCTGGAGAATTTCTACAAAGCCGGACTCTGGAAGCTGAGCAAAGAGTTTTCGAGCTTCCGGACTCTTTGCGGGACTTGAGAAATATACCCTTAATCGCTCGAAAAAGTATCCAAAATTTCCGATTTTATGCTTTTAAGGAATTTCGAAAATTTAATTTTTTATGCATTTTAATTTTTCTATTTTTGTGTCCAGATATATGCAAAAAAGCGCATTTTAGGGTTTATCCTTTTAATGTTAATTTGCTATCCAAAAAACCTTACCTTTAGAAACTTTTAAACAACGCGTTTTTCGTTTATTTTTATTTTTTAGCACTTTCTGAAAAATTACAGTTATTTATTTCTTTATTTATTGTTTATTTATTCCTTCTATTTTGTACCCAATTTGCATATTAAATCTAACATTTTATCACCCCCGATTCCGATGCATTACGGCTCTACAGAACGTTGTGATAGTGCGCGTTGCGTAGCGCTACGGGTCGACCCCCCAGAAATGGCATATGGTGACAAGAATAAATCTATTTATTGTTTTTTTTTTGTTTTTGCTACCGTATTTTTATTGGTTTTTTGTGGCCAATACGTATTTATTAAATTTTATAATTATTATTTTAGGTAAATTTAGCAGTTTTTAGATTTTTCTCTTGCATGGCAGATCGGCCACCTGCTGGCAGGCTGCCAAACGGGCATACGGTAGAACCGGGGCCGAGTTGCAGGACCAAGGAGACGGTGGGTTATTCAGATATCGAAAAATGACAACTATAAAAAAATCAGATAAAAATTACGGTAACTAAAAAGTCAAAAAATTCGCTTGGTGAAACTTTGCATTACTTCATTTCATTTTTTTCAATTTTTTTCGATTTTTTCGACTCGATTCGAAAAAAATTAAATACGAAAGAATCAGAAAAACTGACAGTAGCCAAAAATCCCAAAAAATGCGATTTTTCGAAAAATTTTAGAATTTCGTTTTTGCTATTTTTCGACCCTTAAAAAACCTGTATTTTTTGGGCAAAATGAGGATGAATTACCATTTCAAAATATCGTAAATAAAAATACAACCTAAATACTCTAGATGAAAACCATTAAAACTATTGAGTATTTGGTATCAATGAGAATCGACATTTTTCGAGTTCTCGATTTATCCGCATTTTTAGGACTACTTCTACGATACTGACTCCGACGATGAGCTGCCAGGGAGTTCAAAATTACAAAAAGACGAAAAAGAAGAAGAGCAGGAGGAGGGATGGCTGAACTCCGCGAAAAAGTGCGTCAAATTAATATCCATTCAATTTTATTTTTTATTTTTTCCTATCGATGTTTTATTACAGGGCTGGCCGACATATTCTGTCAAAATGGAAAAATGGAGATCCGCCCGACCCGAAGAAGGAGACGGTCAAGGTGAGAGAGACAGAGAGAGAGAGAAATCGAGAGAGAGATAGAGAGAGAGAGAGAGAGAGAAAGCGAGAGAAAAAGAGAGATAGAGATAGAGCAATCGAGAGAAAGAGAAAGCGAGAGAGAAAGAGAGTGAGAGAGAGAGAGAGCGATTTTCTGAATTTTCAGAGCCGAATCTGGAACGCCTGGAATAACGTCAAATACTCATCAGCACTGCGGATTGACGAGTCGATGAATTATGGGGGAGAACATCCGATATTACTGCTCGGGGAGCAGTATTTTCCGGAAACATTTGGTAGGTATTTCTTTCTCTCGCTTTCTCTCTCTCTCTCTCCCTGTCTCTCTCACTCTATCGCTCTGCCACTCCCTCTCGACCTCTCTCTCTCACGCTTTCTCTCTCTCTCTCTCTCTCTCTCTCTCTCTCTCTCTTTCTCTCTCTCTCGCAATCCACTCGTTTTCAGAACCCGACCAAAGCTTCAACGACTTCTACCGTGATTACTACTCGAGAATCTGGCTGACATATCGTATCGGATTTGAGCCACTGGAGGGGACTACGGTAGGTGGAGCGCATTGTAGGAAACCCAGGTTTTTAGCTGCGAACCGACTGTGGTTGGGGCTGTATGCTGAGAACTGGGCAAATGATGGTGGCACAAGCGCTGCTTTTATTAAGACATGGCAGAAGTAAGTTAGAGAGAAAGAGAGAGCGAGAGAGAGAGAGAGAGAGAGACAGAGGGAGAAAGAGAAAGAGAGAGCGAGGGAGATAGAGAGCGTCAGAGACAGAGAGAGAGAGAGAGAGAGAGAGAGAGAGAGAGAGAGAGAGAGAGAGACGAGAGAGAGAGAGGCGAGAGAGAGAGGCGAGAGAGAGAGAGAGGCGAGAGAGAGACAGAGAGAGAGAGAGAGAGAGAGAGAGAGAGAGAGAGAGAGAGAAAAGAGATAGTGAGAAATAGTAACTTTCTACTTAACTTCTCCAGATTGGCGTTGGAACCTCCGTGGCGTCCCCTTCCAGGGCCAAACCCCTACCCTGGCCCTAGAACACTACGAAATTCTCCGCCTTTTCGAGGATCAACCCATGGCACCTTTAGGTATTCAAACCCTTGTAAATTCCCGTAACACCCTCAAAATTAAGGTATCCACCGCCTGATCAGCTTTTGTGAAAATCCACAAACATCAGCCGGATCTTGGTTTACGCCCAGTGAAGCGCTGGGGTTGTTAAAGTAAGTTAAAAGGAGGGCAGGCTAGCAGAGACCATTTGCGGGATCCGCCAAAATTCCGAAAGGACCACTGCAAAGTATACGTTTCAATAACTATCGTGATTTTGCGCAAAATCGTGATCCAGATCGAGACCGGGCCAGCTAACAGAGAGTTTCGCGGATACCTTAAAAAAAATTCCGCAATAGTCCCTGCTAGATCGCCTAAAGCATTTTCTAACGTCAGCAACAAGACTGAATTTAGAATTGCATAATTTATCTTGTATTTTTTTAGAAAAGCCATCACCTCATCGACGTCGTCGCTAACCGCCGGTCTGGCTGTTGTCGTTTGCGTTGATGGTTCTCTGATCGTTCCTGTAGTGGAACGAGAGACAAGGGACTGGACAAGACCGCTACTACTATTTATTTGCGTACGACTAGGGGCCCATTCCGTTAATAAGGTGGGTATAGCGACGCTAAACTACGTATCGATACTACAAACTACAACCTGCAAATTTTAAGCTCCCGACAAACCTAAAAACCCTCGATTTTTTAGGTCTACAACCGTCACCTCGAATTCCTGCTTTCAATGCCAAACTCGCTAGGGATTGGAGGCGGAAAACCCAACCATTCCACCTACTTCATCGGGCATTATCATGGCGTAAGCGATTGTACCTGGAAAAAGACAGAAAAATTTAGCAACTAATTTATCTGGACCCGCACGTCAGCCACCAGTACGTGCCGCTGGAAAAAGAGCTCGACGACGGCTCGCCGAAACAGAAGCGGAAACACAAGGTAAAAAGCTGGGCCAAAAAAGCGCTTCCTCAAGGATCTTTGCTAGTTTGCCGCGCAAAAATGTCAGCAAATTAGCTAAAATAAATACCCTCAATTTTTGCTAGTTTGCCCTAAATTTGCGCGTATAAATCCCCGAAAAAATGAAATGTGATTGCTAAAACCTCAAAGCCCCCAAAAAACGTAAAAATTTGGATGAAGAACCACGCTTCCTCAAGGATTTTCGCTAGTTTGCCTCATAAAAAATTTCAGAAACCTAGAACGAAAAGGAAGAGCCTACTCCGCAAGGATCTTTGCTAGTTTGCCCTAGCTGCTCGCGCAAAAGTGACAGCAAAATCCCGAAAAACGCAACGAGAAAGCTAAAACATCTCCAATCTCCAAAAAGAAACGCGCTGAACGGTCTCTGCTAGCCTGCTCTCAGTCCCAACCGATCAAAATCCTCAAAATTCCTGCTAGCTTGCTTTTCGAGGTTGCAGGCGAATCTAAAAAACCCATTTTTAGCCCTTCTCCTCGTTCCATTGCCGACTACTCTCCAAAATGCCAATCTCATCCATCGATCCCTCGTGCGCCGTCGGCTTTCTGATGCGCAACAAGGACGAATTCGAGGAGTCGATGCGATATTTGAATCTGGTAGCCTAAAAAACGCTCAAAGATAACTTTCCCCCTTCAGAACCAAGTGATCGACGTGGAGCTGGGTTCAAATCTCGGGTCAAAGCGTACAAAAGATCCACTATTCACCGTGATGCACGAGGAGCCAAAAACGATGAGTCCTAGGGCAAGTTATTATTTCAAAATGGCCTCAATTCTGCTGCAAAAAAAAAACACTTTGAAATGTTAGAAAGCTTTTCCAGCACGAACAGTCCTCAATTTCGACCAACCTACTCCCAAAAACGCTTTTTCATGTGAAAAACTATACTTTTTTAAGGAAAAAGCCCAAGAATGGTTTAAAAACGTCAAAACACCAAATAAAATCTAAAAAACTCTAATTTTCCAGGAGGCCACCGAATTCGAGCGAAAGCAGGCGGCCGACCACGGATTTGAACTCTTGTAAAAAACTAAAAGAATATTATTACATTTTTCTATAGTTTTATGCCCTTCTGCGATAGTTTTACACCTATACATCTTTCAAAGATTCTATGAAGCTATTGGATGTGCCTTTCCCCCACCAAAATATAAATGCCTTCACGCAAAAACTGTTTATTATCGCAAAAAGCAAGGCAACGTGAAAATGGCTTCATCACAGATCGGGGGAGAACATGCACAAGTCGTGGGGACCGGTATTTTGGGGGAGTTTATACATTGAGGGGGAAATCTCCTCAAAATGGCAAATTGAAAGAGTAAAAACAAGTACAGAGCACAGTATTGAGCGGAAATGAGGTAAATTCAAGTAGCAAAAGGACTAGCGGGTAAATCTAGAAATTATTACAAAGAAGGTGTAGTGGCGCGAGAATTAGTGCAGCTTCTCGTGGACAGATTTGTCGTACGGCAAATGGCGTTGTTCGACTTGATCGAGGAGGAAGAAGACAGCACGCGTCGCCTAAATAGGAAATTTTCGATAGTTGATTATATGCTAAAAACAGGGTTCTTTGGCATTATCGGGGGAGGGGGGGGCGTTTCCGCTCACAAAACACAGTGAAAACAGTTTTTTTTGTTAGAGAAAACCTAGAACCTATAGAAACTACGGTTTTTTTGCAATATCGGGGGCCGACATTTTCCCATTAGTCCAGCAATGCCTAGTAGCATCATAGTTATAGTAAGTATTTCAATAGTGCTTTAACAAAAGTTAACTATATTTTAAGCGGAAAAGCAATTAAAAATGGCCCTGAAAAATTTTGGTCGAAAATCGGCGACCATTTTTTTGATCAAAATTGGCAACGATTTAGCGCTTAGGATAGTAAAAGCAGCGTAGAAACACTTTATCTATGTCTATTAGAAAAATTTAATAGATAAAGTGAAATAATAAAGTGTCCCCCCGTTAATGTGAAAGAACCGAAAAAGCTTGAGTTTGATCCCCCGATAATGCGAAAGCACCAGCTAAAGAAAGAGATCTATCAAATATTAATATGAAACATACCTTTGTGATGAAGAAGGCGCCTGCGATGCAGAAGATGAACGTCGGCACGAACCAGGCCAGGCAGAAGATGAGCGCGGATGCTAAAAAAGTTGAAATATGCCAAAATGTCATACTTTGAACGATGAAGGCGATCCCGAAATTGACGATGAGCGTCGTGGCGATGGTGGCGACGAAGAAGATGGACGGGACGGCGACCAGCGAGGCGAACACGGTGAAGAAGAGCGGATCGGCGGGCAGCTCGATGTGCAGACTGCGCGGCCACGCTTCCCTCAACCCGAACGTCTCCAGAGTGCCCATTCTGAAAAATCAAGAAATTTTTTGTATAGCAAATTTAAAGAAAATGGAAAACAAAAACAAATAAAAGCCCAGGATTTCAGGATTTTTCCATATTACACCTATATCCTATTTACGATTTCCGTCCATTGGAGCAAACGGAATCAGTTACGCGACGAAAATCAACCGAGAAAATTTTTTTGTACGGCTTTTCTTCTATTTTTTATTTTCTTTACTTTGAATAGATTTCACATATATCAAAATTTAATTAAAGAACACGATACAAATATGAGCTCATAAAGTGACCAAGAATTTCCGAAAGGCCAGCTTTTCCGCAGCGTCCCGAAAAAAGTTATGAAAAAGGCGACCAAAGCGAAATTGAGTAGCACCAATGGATTATCGCCGGGCAGACAGAAACTGCTGAACCAGGCTCAATGGCGATATGGGTGTTTGGGATCGATTTGTGTGTGCTAGGCCCGCAAATAACAATGGCAAACGGCGTGGAAAAGGGGTGGGAGGGCGGGTGGACCGGGGGCGAGGCAAAACAAGCTTTCTCGAGTGATGTTTTGCGCTGGGAACTGTCGAAATTGTAACCTGAGAAAGTACTTTTCAGGCTTACGACGATAGGCACGTCAGGGGCGTTTAGAAGCGAAAAGTGGGGGCTTGGATTTGGTTGGGGTGGAGAAGGAAAAGACGATTTGCTAGATTTGCAGATTAAACTTTGAGTGCTCCATCTTTTTTATAACATAGATTTACGAGAGTTTAATCATTACTCTAATGGGCTGAAAAAATCAATTTTCAAACGTTTCAGTATTTTATCAAAGGTTTTACGGCGCTACTTCAGTTTGCTGGCCCCACTTATATATGGCCAAAACCTCATTTTTCTGGTTCAGTTTTTTGCGCTGATTACGGAAAACACTATCCCAGCCCACGAAAATGCGATTTAGTAAAACAATTTAATTGGAAAGTCGGGAAAATTCCATTTTACGGCGGTCGCGTAAAAGGAGCCTTTTTGTGGTTTTTTAATTAAATAATGGCCAAAAACGGGTTTATCATGAATAAAGTCAGCCAGTAGCATTGTCAGGCAAGGCGGGCCGTCGCTTCGGATGGGCTGCCGCTCCACTCTTTCGAAATCGGGGCGCCTGGCCGCTTCGCGCCTCGGGCGCCCCGATTTCCGAAACCCTGTACGAGCTCGCACCCATCCGAAGCGACTAGGCCCCGGGGTGGCACGAAGCCTTATTTTTAGGAAAAAAAGCGGATGCAATCGCTCAGCCTCGTTGGAAAAAGCTTTTCCACTGTTTTATAGGCCTCCCGCATCAAAACACCGGGTTGACCCCCTTTAAAAACTCAAACCAGAAAAATCGAAAATCAAGTGTTTTCTCCCCTCAAAATTCACGATTTCATTTTCGTGGGCTGGGATAGTGTTTTCCGTAATCAGCGCAAAAAACTGAACCAGAAAAATGAGGTTTTGGCCATATATAAGTGGGGCCAGCAAACTGAAGTAGCGCCGGTTTTACTACCATTGTATCAGTTATCGTTGATTTTAGGAAAATATAACCGGGTCCAAAAGATCGAAAGATGCTTTTCGCGATACGTCGATAGAATGAATGCTATATTTATATTCCTAAAGGGCCAGTGAAGCCATTTTCAGGCTCAAAACCCTTCCGACTTTCTTGTCCCTTTAGCCCATCCTATCTGCTTGCTATTGCACGCTCCACCAGCTGTTTGCCCTTCTTTCCCAAAGCCGGGGGGCTAGACACGCAGCGGCGTATAAGGTATCACCCTTGGCATGAAATCAAGTGATTCATCTTTCTTTCAAATCGGCGTTTATGCAACGAATTTTCTTGCAGAGGTCTCTGGGCGTTAAAAATTGATTTTGAAAGTTATCGGTTGAATTTTCGCAATCGATCGTTCGTCTCAACGACAAAGCTAATGATCGTCAAAGTAATCAGCTTTTTTTCAGGGTAGCCATGTCGGCCGACCAGTCGATCGAGAAGGCCAAGGTGCTGATGAAGCGGGCGATCGACCTGGACCGGGACGGCCGGCACGAGGATGCGGCCGACGTCTACATGGACGGCGCGCAGGCGCTGCTCACCGCCTCCGGGCTGATGGCCGAGGGCGACGCGCGGCGGGAGGCGATACGAGCAAAGTGCGTTTGTGCTTTTCTAAAAAAAAACTGGCGAATTTGCGTTCCGGTAATCCGGATGTGAAAAAGAATTGCAAATTTTCGGGATTGAAAACAGATGTTAAACCGTAAATTTTGAGAACAAGCTCAGGAAACCATCGATTCAATTAAAAAAGCGAATTATAAAAGGTTGAATTTACAAAAAAAGTTTATTTTTAAGATTTTTTGCCGGATTCTTGTTTGTAGAAAATACAAATCATGAAAATTAGCGTTTTTATGGATTGCTAGATGTCTTGTCAAACTTTGAAAGCCCTTAACTAAGCTAGGTGTAACAAAGCAACCTTTAAAATCACTCTGGAGTCAACCTAAACTTATCAAAACCCTTTTTCAGAGCCCAAGACTGCCTCGACCGCGCCGAGAAGCTAAAACCGCGCCGTAGCCTCAAAGTCATCGAGGCCAAGCAGCGCCGTATCGTCGCCGGCTCGACGGGCCATGGCTACGATCGAATCTTCGGCGATTACCTCAACGATCGACTGACCAAGGTCGAGGTGTTCGACGCCTACATCTCGGCCCACCACCAGATCATCAACTTTCTGCGCTTCTGCGAGCTGGTCGTGCTCCGGGCGCCGAGTTGCAAGACGATATCGCTCACGACGGGCGCCGCAGAGAAGAGCCAAGGCGCCGAAGGGCTGGCCGGGATTCGGGAAAGTCTCGCGAAATATAAGGTGAAGCTCGAGGTGAACTACTCGGCGACGATTCACGATCGGGAGATCCGCTTTGACAATGGGTGGATAGTGAAGATCGGGCGCGGGCTCGACTATTTTCAACGGCTCGACCGCTATTCCATCGGGTTCCACGAGCAAAATCTACGGCCGTGCCACGAGACGACGATTGATGTGTTGCGGCTCGATCTCAACGGATAATGATGTTTTTATGCGTTTTTAAGCCAAACCCTTAGTTTTAATATTGATAATGCAACGATAAGGCGTGGAATTTGCTATCTTTGTAAAGTTTTTACTTCTTTTAGGCTTTAAATTTGTTAATTTCTGATTTTATTCTTTTATTGGTTTAACAATCTTTCGGTATATTTTAAGTCCGGTCAAATTTTAGTTTTAGTAACGATAATGTCACGATCAAAGTCGGATTTGCTATTTTCATCAGTTTTTACTTCTTCTTCACGGGGCTTCTTTCCTCTAATTGTGATTTTTGCGGGGTCCTGTTACCTACGGTTGTTTCTACCCATTTCTTGCCACTTTTAGAGGATTTTTTGACTTTTCTAGACGTATTAGTCAAATTAACAGTGATATAATAATCATATCTACCTTGTTTTATATATATAAATTTCTCCTGTCTTTGTAAATAATTGCTCCTACTATTTGACGAAATTCCTATCTTGACGGGTCGCCTGTGCGGTGATTTCCTTGGTTATTTGCCATGGCCGGCCATCGGCGAATCTACTTCTCTGTACATTTCTGTATCTCTTTTTTTGTGCTAATTTCTCGGATAAATCTCGGTATTTCCAGGGAGAATCATGGAGTTCCTGTTCGGCCGCCGGAAGACGCCCGCCGAGCTGCTCCGGCAAAACCAGCGGGCCCTCAACAAGGTACGAATCTTTTTTGCGGCCTAAATTAGGAAGTTCTAGGCAATTCGCGAGCTCGACCGCGAGAAGAGCCGCATGGAGATGCAGGAGAAGAAGGTGATCGCCGAGATCAAGAAGATGGCCAAGATGAACCAGATGGTAAAAAATTAGTGGATTAATATAAACTTTAAGATTGAGACTTTAAATTTGAACTTTAGAAGAATTTTGTTCAGTCACTTTTTCCTTAGAATATTTCCAAAATGTTGATAGAGAAAGCGTTTCTGCGCTGCTTTTAGGTGTCCCTAAACGTAAAAACTACGATTTAAAAAAAACCGAAATATATAGATGTTTCGACAAAGATTTTAACGTAAAAAGTAGATAAACTATTTCTACAGGCTTTTTACTATCCTAAAGCGTGAAATTTACAGATTTTATTAAAAGTCTGTAAATTAGCCCCCGATTACGCGAGTCTCGTTGTTTTTAACATATATTTTTTGCAGGATTCGGTGAAAGTGATGGCCAAGGACCTCGTCCGCACGCGGCGCTATATCAAGAAGTTTATAGTGATGAAGGCGAATATTCAGGTTTAAGTTTTTTCGATACCTAGACTTTAATTTTTAGGCAGTATCGCTGAAAGTGCAAACGCTGAAGAGCCAGGACGCGATGGCGCAGGCGATGAAGGGCGTGACGAAGGCGATGCGCAGTATGAATAAACAGGTTTTCGATATAAGGAAAGTTCATAACTTTTTCTGTGTTTAGATGAACCTCCCGCAAATCCAGCAGATCATGATGGAGTTCGAGAAGCAGAGCGAAATCATGGACATGAAGGTAAACGGCACAGTTTTTGATTTTTAAGCCAAATCTTTCTAGGAAGAAATCATGGGCGACGCGATTGATGATGCGCTCGGAGACGCGGAAGACGATGAGGAGAGCGAGGGCATCGTTAATCAGGTATATTTATTTTTAAAAAGCTCAAAGATTGCAAGTACATTTCTGTTTTTGTCGTTTGTAGTGCTTTTCTTTATTTTCTCGCGGATCTCACCATTTTTCAAATTTAGACACCAAGCAAAGAGCGAATATTTTCGGATATTTTGGCCTCTATCCCATTTAGGTTTTGAGAATTGAGCGAAATTTATATCGTTTCGAAAGTGCACCGTAATTGTTGAAATTGCATTGGCGCAATGAGAATCAATTTCGCGAAATATACTGGCAATTTGAGAGCAATTTTCAACCTATTTCTGAGATATAAATTCGCTTATTTAGATCCTCGACGAGCTCGGCATCCAGATGGGCGAAGAACTCGGCGGACTGCCGGCCCCGGGTGGAAAGGTGAGCTTTTTTAACGAGACCCTTGACGTTTTTTAGTGGTGCAGCGCTTTAAAAAAATTTTTTCCAATTTGTCGTTCGGATTTTCATTTTCGAACAAATCCTTGGAACGGGTCATTTTGAAAACTAAGAGCTAAAAAAAATGCTTCGAACGGTTTTAAAATTTTCAGCGCCCTAAACCGATTTTTTTTTCAGATTGGCACCGCAACGGGAGCAGCGGCAGCACGACAGCCGGTGGCGGCGGGCGGAAGCGGAGGCGGAGCGGCCGGTGGCGCGGGGCACGACATCGACGACGATCTGCAGGCCAGGCTGGACCAGTTGAGGCGAGAGTAACCGGTTGGTTTTTTCGGCGTTGCTTATGCTCTTTTTTTGCCGCTTTGTTCCGCGTTTGACAGTTTTAATCGCGCTAGAAGTTCAAATCGGGATTGAAAATGACTTTACTTAGTTTTTAATTTAGTTTATTTTAGAAAAAATGACGTTTCGAAAACAGCATAGTAACTTTTGGAAATAGAAAATTTTCCACCCCCGTTAAGCAACCTGTACCGATTTTTGGCTTTGAAATATCCAAAAACAGTCCCAAGCACGTTAAAAAATTGTGAAAAACACTTTTGCCACTTTTTCGACCTCCCACTCACAAACTAAAAATTTTATTTTCTATTTTTCCCGGTAATAAAAATGTAATATAAATATTTATAGAATTTTATTACGCGATTTTAGTTCCAACCCGCTCACCACGCCGCCCTCTACTCAATTCACACCGCAAAACGACAAAACAAAATATTCTGCCCACCACTCGTCACTACTGTACGTACATTGTATTGCCCTGTACTCCTCCACCTCCTCGTCTCGGATTTGTATTCTACGTGTGCCTGTGATTTCAAGCCGCTGAATTTTAAACCCCCGTCCCCCCCGTACCGTACTTGTACCCCGGATTTTGGAATGTTTTTCTCGTTTCTGTTTTTTGCGCTCTCGAATATACGGTACTTCATGGTATTTGCGAAAATACACGAAATGATTTTGTATGATTTTTTCTTTTTGCTAATTCGAGTACTGTAACTGGGTTCACGTTTTATTAAGTGCGGTGGAGAAAGAATAGAAATCCGACAATCTTGCTTCTTAAATTTCGCTTTTAATCTGGATTTAATTCGGGCGTGATTTTTATGCATTTATTTTTCTTTTTTTTGCACTTTCTATATACGGTATTTAATGGTATATATTTATTAAAAACACGAATTTATTAACAATACATGATACAGTAGGGGTGCCTCATTATATATATTGACTCGTAATTTTGGGTGAATTTCTTAGGTTTGATTAGTTTTTTTTGGTGTTTATACTACTGTAACTGGGCGAAATTTTAGATAACTGAAGCTGGAAAGTAGAATTTTGAAAAATGCCTTTAATAGAAAGTAACATTAAAATTATAGAAAACGATATGAGTTAGAGCTCATTGGTGAGGGAGGAGGAGATTTTTGGTGTGTGGTGGCGTGGTGCGGATTTTGGCCCATTTTCGGTGGGTGGACCCGTGTTGGGGAAGCCGTCCGGGCGGTAGATGAACACTACGACCTAGCGCGGCTCGTTCAGCATCTGAAAATAGGGGGTATTGCACGTTTCATTATAGATTTTCGATTTAGCCTCTCAGAATCGTTCCGTTTCCTCAAAGAGTCGCTGCTAGCCTGCCCCTTCCATTCCCAAATGATCTCTGCTAGCCTGCCCCTTCCATTCCCAAATGATCTCTGCTAGCCTGCCCCTTCCATTCCAAAATGATCTCTCGTAATTAGTCAAAACTCGTACCCATGGCGCATGCTGCTGGCATTGGTCGATGGTTGTATAGTGTGAATCGGGGGCAGTGGTCCTTGATGGGCCAGCTGTTGCTGCTGTACTTGTTGCTGCAGTTGGGTGGGCGGTTGAATAGCCGCCGTGGTGGTGGAGGGGGTGTTGTTGTTGTGGGATGTAGTGTTGCTGCTGCTGCTGTTGTTGACCGCCATATTGCAGTTGGGTGTCATTTGGAGCCCCGTGGACGCCGGGGTCGTAGTGGAGAAGGTCGCTGAAAAAAAAATAGTTTATTTAAGGCAATTTCTAGCAGTTTTTCGCTGAGAATCTCTGCTGTCTGCCTCTCTCTCTCTCCCTCTCTGTCACTCACCTATTTGGTGTTGTGTAGTATTCAGCATAATTGACTGTTGCTGTTGGCTGTGATGGTTGTTGTGTGGGTTGTGATGATGATTGTTGTGGTGGTTGTGGCTGTTGTTCGATGATATCTGATGATGAGATACCACCCCTGTGGGCAGATGCACCGACGGACGGTTGCCCGGCAGGCACAACGCTCCATCTGAAAGAAATCAACAATCAGACCATCTAAAAGATCAGTTTTCAGAGAGAGCGAGACAGCGAGAGAGAGACGGAGAGGGAGAAAAAGAGAGAGAGAAAGAGAGAGAGTGGAAGAAAGAGAGAAAAAGAGAGTGAGGGAGATAGTGAGCGAGAGAGAGAGCGAGAGAGAGAGAGAGAGAGAGAGAGAGAGAGAGAGAGAGAGAGAGAGAAACGCACCCTCCGTTCCCACCGGCTCCATCGTACACGCGACGCCGCTTTGCTCGTGCATTTTGCGAAGTCTGAAAAATTCGCGTTAATTCTGGTTATGGCCAAGAGTACGGTATGCACGATACGATATCGATTTCACTACGATACGATATTCAATACAGTAAGCCACAATACGATATATATTTTGCTAATTACCATCTCTGGCTCGTCGGCTGCCTGGCTGCAGTGGTGGTAACTGGATTAAACAGGGATTTGATGGGATTTGTCAGACTTTTAAATTTTGGAAATTGTGCATTAAGGGCAGCTAACACAGCTTCAAATTTTTTTCCTTTTAAACCCATAGAAATCGATTAAACAATATCGGAAGCCGACAATATATCTAATTTGAATTTTTATAATTTGTGGCTTATAACCTCTAAAGGAGGCGCATTAATGAAAGCATAGTCCTAATGATCTTCGCCTATTTTTTTGGTATTTTTAACGTGTTTTTTAAGCTAGAACATTTTTAAGGTATTTTCCCGGTTTTACGAAGGGTTCTGACTGGAAAATATGTAAAATTAGCTATTTTTTGGTAAGAACTCGGTAATAAAAGGAAACCTACTTGATTCGGCTCTGCCTCATGAAATTTTGAATCTTCCTGGCGGCCGCTTGGCGCTTACGGTGCCCTCGGTAGGCATGCTGGATCGTGGCAGCGGCGCGGTGCTCACGCAGGAGGGTTGAAGAGTTTGGGGGAACCTGAAAAGTAAGGATTATTTGGGATTTTCGAAAATAATACATTATTTCTGGTTTTTACCCATCGCTTGACTGGTTTAAAATAGAGATGTGAAGAATCAATTAACAATCAAGTTTATTTGCATACAATGGCACAATATTATTTGATTTGGATGGGGCTGAGCGCATGATCAAGTAAAATAATATTATTTGACTCCGCTCGAGAAAGAGCCAAGTAAGATTACTTGATTTACTTGATTTACTTGATCAAACAATAGCTTTCTGGAATTTTGGCATTTTTCGGATGGTAATGAACCTTATGACATGATCGCATGCTAATTTACTGGGTTCGCGGCACGATTGCCTGATTTGCATTGCGAATTTGCACAAAATCAAGTAATTTCGCTGAAAATCAAGTAATTCTCCCAAATCAATCAAGACCAGGGTTGAAAAGCCGCTTCGCGACTTTTCAACCCTGGCCACGTCTGACCCCGTTTTATCCTTCACTTTGCATCTTGAATTCAGATGACAAAAAATGAAAAACTACCTGTTGAGCCCCTTTATGTAGTCCAATCCCCACTTCCGGTCTACGCTAATTGTTCCTAACAAAGAGGTTTTTACAAAAACTTAAATTTAATGTCGAAAATAGGTGATTTTGTTAAATCTGATATGCGTGCAGTCATCTCCAGGCCATTACGCATCTAATGACGTATCATACATACCTTAAAATTCATCTCCTATCGAGATATCCTCCGGACAGACATCCGGAAGTGGATGCAAAGTGGCACACACACACACACACAAACACTATTTTTTTATATATAGTAGGATCAAGTAAATCAAGTAATTTTATTTTACTTGATGCTTATTCAAGCAAAAGGCGTAAAATAATTTTATATTTACTTGAAGATTTCGGATGCAAATAAAGTTGTTCAAGCAAATTTACTTGGTCATTATATTACTTGATTCGTAACATCTCTACTTTAAAATCGAAATTTATCTGAGTTACTGAAATTTTTTTCTGAGCCGTCCTCCTTCCGCTTTTTCAATTTTTTTCGTGCTCAAACGCGTTTTTGAGCTTCATGCTACTGCTCAAGGTCGCGCTATTTAAGACTCGAACATAGCAACGAATCAAGCCGCTTTTTTTTGGTTTAAAGGAACCGGGAAGCGGGGAAAATTGACCTGTTCGGTCCACTAGGTCTCGATAACGACGCCACGCTCCATAATACGCTTGTCAATCGGTTTTAAGCGAAACGCGCCGGAGACCCTAGCGGCACAAAAATAAGAATGGGTGCTGTTCTATTTCGCGGGGGGGAAAAAACTGTGCGGGGGGGAAAATGTTCCTCGGTTTGTTATAACTCTTTTACATGATGCTATTTTGAGTTGTAATTAAAACTCTTAGTATATTTTTTGACGCTCTATCGAATGGCATAAAAGGAATTTTTGAAAAATATCGAAAATGTCGAAAACTAGCTTTCGACTCCACGGTCCCATGTGGAAACACCGTATAAACTTTGTTTTTGCTATAACTATTTTATAAAACAATATTTTTAGATGTAATTAAAACTCTTAGTATATTTTTTGATGCTCTATCGAATGACGGGTTCAAAATATCGAAAAACTGGCGAAAATGCCGAAAACTAACATTTCGGCACCAGTTTCAATAGTTTTTTTTGTTTTTGCTATAACTTTTTTATATTACAATATTTTTAGCTAAAACAAAAACTCTTAGTATATTTTTTGATGCTCTATCGAATGGCGTTGCAAAAATCCCGAGAAAATAGCGAAAACATAGAAGTTTTGGCGAGGCATATTTTCCCCCCCGCACAGTTTTTCCCCCCCCCCCCGCGAAATAGAACAGAACCT